AAAAAAAAAAAAAAAAAAGAATGATTGCATATAGAGTCCTAGAGCTGGATAGGATGTGGTAAGGTGGCTTTGGGAATGGTGAGCAGTTCAGCATACCAAGAATATAGAGGTGTATAGGGTTGGGAACAAGGAGGGCATTGTGTTCTTGGAAAGCTTTGGGGCCTGAAATATGGTAATAATTGTCCCATCTTGTAGGGTGATTAAAAATTACTAAATGATTTTTAGGCAGCACATTGGCATGATTGGTGTGACATTTTGTAACTGGTAGTAGGATGTATGGCTGAATAGAAGTGGAGAGAATGGCATGGACATCATTTAGGAGATTGTTGCTAAAATACAGGCAAACGAATAGGCCTAACCTGGAGTAGGGGCCATAGGTAAAAAGAAAAGAGGGAAGGCATTCAGAGACAACTTCTCTGAGGGAGCATTGATAGCACTTATTGGTTGATTAGGGGGTAAGGCAAAGGGATAGGTCAAGGATGATTTGATGATAAGATTTTAAAAATAAAGGGTAAAATGCAAGATTAGTTTGATATAAATGTAGGAGTTTTATGATTGCCTTTCAGGTGTTAGCTGTTCAGATGAAGATGAAAAACCCAGAAAACGAAGGCGTACAAACTCTTCCAGCTCTTCTCCTGTTGTTCTGAAGGATGTTCCAAAGGCTGTTGTCCCAGTGTCAAAGACAATCACCGTGCCTGTGAGTGGTAGTCCTAAGATGAGCAACATCATGCAGAGTATTGCCAACTCCTTACCACCCCATATGTCTCCTGTGAAGATAACCTTCACCAAACCATCCACACAGACGACGAACACAACAACGCAGAAGGTATGTGGTGGAGGGCTCTGCCTATGGAGTTATTTCCATCTCTTTCAGATAGTGTGAGTTCGATTTAACAAATATGTATTGAGTGTTTACTATGTGCTTGGCATTATGCTGGGAATATTCATATTTCTTACTTTTATTTTTTTTAAGGAATTATTTTGTTTAATTTTATTTATTGTCATTATTTTATTTTAATGAAGTTGACCAGAGAAAGACAGAAAGAGAGAAGGAAAGTGAGAAATTAAGCTGCCAGGTCCGGGACTTGAATCGTGATCAGACCTGTGGATAACCTGCTGGTCCCACACATTTCTTACTTTGTTTAATTCTGTACATAAAGCTTTGGAAGAGGTATTATTACTTCACTTTTCGCAGATTAGGTTCAGAGGTGGTAAATGACTTGCCAAAGATGACATAGCCAGGAGATCTCCCAAGAATTGTGCTCTATTTTGTAATGGCAAGAAATTACAATTAGAAAAGTTCTTAAACATATTCAAGGGGACTTCAAAAGTTTGTGGGAAATGAGTATTATGAAAAAATTATGCATGGATTTCAAAATTTTTTTGCACCCAAATAAAATTTTATTTTCTAAAAAGTTCCCATGTATTTATACCTGTTAAAGTTTCTTTATTCTACCCTCTTACTTTCTTTATGGTTTAGCCTGTTAAAGTGTCTTAGGGCAGAAGTCATTTTTCTTGTGAATTCTGAAGTTGTTGCTCCATTGGAGGCTTTTTTTTGTCCCCCCACCCCCATCCGTTTTGATTTTCTATTTGGCACTTGTGCTTGCCAGAGAGAGAGAGAAAGAAAGTAAGAAAGTACTCCCAGGGAGCATAGCCACCCACAATCACGTCTCCATTCTCCTCTCAGGATCTTGGGCACGCATGTACATGCACTCAGTGAATTTAAAGCTGCCTGATTTGGGACTTGAAGTGCAGTCAACTATGTGGGAGTCTAGCAGTGTAAACATTATGCCATCTGCTGGCCCCTATTATTATATTTTTTAGAGAGATTTTTGCTATAGGGCACGTGTGTTCACCAGAGAGAAAGACAGAGAGACAGAAAACAAGAAATCATCCCCCCCAGGGGAGGACATGCTAAAGCCCCTTCTCCTTCGTTCTTCTCTTGGGATTTTGGGTATGTACACACATACACACACACGCCTGGTGTGAGTTTTAAGCCACCGGGTCTGGGACTTGAACTGAGGTCGACTATGTGGGAGTCCAGCGACATAACCATTATGCCATCTGCTGGTCTCATACTTTGAATTTCTAATAACTCTTAGTCTCTGAAAGTTTCCTCTTAAAAGAGCATCCTTTTCTTTCTTTCTTTTTTTTTTTAATAGACCATAGATTCGTTTATTTTTAACACCCATCATGCCATGAATTTATAGGGAATAGGTTCCAATAGCTCTGGCTCCTTTTCATTGATTCTCACAAAGTCTGCTTCTCTGGGTGGAGCAGGCTGGCGCTTCAGTTGCCCTTTGGCTTCCTTTTTTTTCTGGTCATTTTCCTTCACATGTTTTAGGAAGCCATCTCTGCTCTTAGAATACTTATTAATATGCTCAATATGCACATTTATTTTCTTGGCAATAATCTTGCCCTTAACTTGTTTGTTTACAACAATGCCAACAGCATGCTGGGTAATATTTTAGACTCTTTCAGTTTTGCCATGATAACATTTGTGGGGCATTCCTTTTTGAACAGTACCCACCCCCTTAATGTCTACACTATCACCTTTCTTATATATTCTCATTTATGTTGCCAAAGGAACCACTCCATGTCATTTGACATAGAGGGATGGAGAGAGAAAGAAAGGGAAAGTGAGAAGGCAAGCCACCAGGTCGAGGACTCAAGCTGTGTCAGTCATGTGGGAATCCAGTGCCCTTAACCACCACGTCACTTGCTGGCCCCCATTCTTTTCTTTTCATAGGATCATTTTGTTCTCTCTCTCTCTCCCCTTTTTATTTTTTTGTGCTGTAGGGCACATATACTTGCTGGGTAGAGAGAGAGAAAGCATTCCTTGGGAGGATGGCCATGCTGTAATCCCCTCTCCTTTATTCTTTTAGAATTTTGGGCACAAGCATGCATGCATCTGGTGTATTTTTCAAGTCGCTGGGTCTGGGACTTGAACCGCACAATTGGCTGTCTGAGATCCAGGCCTGAACTACCACACCATCAGCTGGCCTCATTTTATTCTCTTATCTGATGAAACTAATCATAATTAAAAAAATTGCAAGAGGGCACATGCGTCAGAGAGAGAGACACCCCTACCCCCATGTGATGTGGTCACACTGTAGTAGTCACTTCTTCAGCTCTCCATCCTGTCAGGATTTTGAGTGTGAACACACATATGCTAGGAGTGTTTCATAGGCCCCTGGGACTAGGAATTGAACTGCGATTGGCCATGTGGGATTTGGCTTTCTATGAATGGTGCTTAACTGCCATGGTACAGGGCCAGCCCTCATGATAAATTTTTAAATCTTTCATATTCTTTCTTTTACCTTAAGTTTCTTTTATCTATTTGTTCTGACCTCTGTCTTTCATTTCAGAGTTTATTTTAGTATCTAGCTACTGCTTGAATATGAAAGTAAGCACTAAAAAGTTATCAAAAGGCTCTGTGTGTTTGGATGGGACATGTCTACTGGTGACTTTCACTATGCATTGACCTAACTGGACTGTCGTTAAGGAACACTCCTACCCCTTCATTACTACCAGTTGTCATTATCTTTAGGATTTTTTCATCTGCGAAGACTCTTTAGTCTCTTGCCTTGAGTAAGAGTATAAATGGCGGGAGGGAGTTGTGTGGTTTTACCATTCATTGTATAGACTCTATTTAACCTATTCTCAGTAGAGCAGTTGTCTCCTTTAACTGTGCCTGGTGTTATCAGATTTCCCTGGGATTCAGTCTACCTTAAGAGAATAAATTCCTAATCTTTTCTGTAGAGTGGCAGAGTATAACAGAAATCTAAATACTTCTTCAAAAGATTTTTAATGAATCTTCCTTTTTAGTCTCACTTTTACCCTTACTTGGAAATTCCTGGTGTACTTAATTTTTTTGTCTTTCTGAGATAATGCAAGTTGTTATTACTATTCTGTTTGATGCCTTAGGTTTCCATCTTCTTGAGTATGCTTAACCTGTTACTACTTGTCTTTGTTCCAGTTTCCAAAACTTTGTAGCTGTTGTCTCTGTTCTGTTATGACCTTACAGGGTTATATGTCTTTTTCCCTTAAAAAAAAAATCCCTTTATATTGTTTTAGAGAGATTTGGGGAAAGATTAGAGAAAAATTCTGTGTTCAGTGCATGGTCTTTCTATGTTTAAATCTATGTTTAAAACTTTCACTTATAGAACCTTATTTGAATTTCTTGGAAAAATATCTTTATATGATGTTTAAAAAATTATCATTATTTTCTTAATAACCAAAAGTGATAGTGAGCTGACCTATGGGATGTAATTCTATTTTCAGTCAGAGGATGAGAGATTATAGCGTATTAAAATCAAGCAAGGTTTTTTTTTTTTGTCCGAGGATCCTGGGTAAGAACTCTGGCTTTTCCAGGATAACTGAACTACATTAGGCGCTCTCTACTCTTTTTGCTCATCTATAAGATGAGAATAATGCCAATCCTATGAGGTTATTGTGAGGATTAAATGAGATTGAACATTTAAAGTGCAACTTAAGGTACATACACAGAGAATGGTCGCTTCCTTTCCCTGTAGCTATTTAATGGATTTCTGTCTATAGGGCATGTGCTCTCGCCAGAAAGACAGAGAGAGACAGACAGAAAGCGAGAAATCACCCCCCCCCCTGAGGCGGGGGGGATGGGCATGCCGCAATCCCTTCTCCTCCATTCTCCTCTTGGGATCCTGGGCACGCATGCACACGCGCCCGGTGTGAGTTTAAGCCACCAGGTCCAGGACTCGAACTGCTGTCGACTACATGGGAGTCCAACAACATAGCCGTTACGCTAACTGCTGGTCCCAAATTTTTAGTTTATTAATCTTCTCATGAAAAATCCACACAATCACCACAGATAGTCTTTGCAGAATCTTTACTCCTTTGACTTTCATTCTGTTCTTGCATTTTTTTCGCTGTTTTCTTAATGTCTTTTTCTTCTCATAAGAGTTCATGCCTTTCAAGTTCATTTTTCTTTGCATCATCCAAAGAATCGTAAATCATACCAAAGCTAGTTGTCTTGCCACTACCAAAATGGGTTCTGAACTTAACCACGAAGACGCCATCTGGTGTGGTCTTGTACATCTTCGCTAGTTTTTCCTGAATTTTCTGTCTTAGGTACTGTTGCCTTCTCAGGGTGAAGGACAGCAATGACCATTTGTTTCCTCTGAAGTAGTCTGTTGGTCATGAATTTCCTGGTTCGGATAGTTACTGTGTCATTCATGATGGCAGTATATCTTCAAACAGCCAGGGAGGGAAAGACAATAATGAGTGTTTCTAAATAAGTGAATTCATTAGTTCACTGAAGCTTATCCCTTAATATATAGAAATGAACTATTTTTGGTGATTTTGTAAAAGTTACACTGAACCTAAGTTTTGCATTTTTATCAGATGACTCTGAAATATTCTTCCCGAATGTCACTTTTTAAAAATATTTTTATTTGGGACCAGCAGTTAGCGTAATGGCTATGTCGCTGGACTCCCATGTAGTCGACCGCGGTTCAAGTCCTGGACCCGGCGGCTTAAACTCACACCGGGCACGTGTGCATGCATGCCCAAGATCCCGAGAGGAGAATGGAGGAGAAGGGATTGCGGCATGGCCATCCTCCCTGGGGGGTGATTTCTCGCTTTCTGTCTCTCTGTCTCTCTCTGTCTGGCGAGTGCACGCACCCTATAGCAAAAACCTCTCCAAAAAAAAATTATTGTTTTAATTTTTTAAAGAATGATTTCCTTTATTTTATTTATCATTATTGTTATTTTTAATTTGTCCAGAGCGAGAACCCCCCCCCCCCCCCCACACACACACATACACACATACACAGAGTCCTGCCAGGT